CTCCTTGTAGAAAATCTAGCCAAACCCAATTTGAGATTTTGAGCCAAACCCGATTCGAGATTTTGATTGAGATAGGAGCGGATAGGTACGGACTTCTAAGGCTTGGAGTACACCTTTTCACTTATGTTTTAAATTGTGATCAATTGTGAGTTCCTTGGTTCTATCAATATTTTTATTTTATTTTAAATATTTCATCTTTAAATAAATCCAACATCTAGTAAGTAGTAGTAATAATAATATTTTTTTTTACTAAACATTGATATTTTAATAAAAAAATTTAAATAGGCACAATATTTTAAAATGCGAGGCATACATGATAGACATGGAAATTTTATTTAATATCAGGTGAGGTGTAAGCTTCATGAACTTTATATTTTTAGTTTAAGAAATCGAAAAGAAAATAAAAGGATAGAAAGTACATTAAAAGTTTAAAAAATCAAAGAATTAAGTAAATTCAGTTTTACAAGTATAAATAATGCAATAGTGTTAAAATTATTATCAAAACACACATTTGATTACTTCCCTATAAGGCTAAAAGTTATATATTATTATCAAACTACAAATTTAGTTACCTTTCTAAAAGTAAATAATCAATAAACTTTATCAATATTATAATTCAAAATATTACTCCTTCATAAATAAATATAAAGTTTCATTTAAATAGTAAAATAATAAAAGTCTCATAATAATTTTGGGAGATAAAAAAACTAAGAAAAAAAAAACAATTATAGCGATTGAAGATACAAAGTTCGGCTATCTATATATTCAGAAAAATGTTCAAATAATATTCACCCTCACGATGTTCTCACTTAGTAAATATGCAATACTATGACTCGTTATTTGAGTTAATATCATTCATTTGTTAATATATTTTGAGGGTCAACGCTATTAATTAGAAATTTTAACATGTGATTAACCTAGTAATTGTTGAGCGAGCCTCGAATCCTGAGCGATAGGCGTGTTTAGGTTTAGGCCTACAACCACCCCTGAGAAGTGTGGTCTAAGATGCCAAGAAGTGTAGCATTTGGTCAAAGGTAACACTTTACGACTTTAGGCAATGCTTTTTGGGGGTGGCCTAAAGTACCGTAACCTTTGACTATTGGCCACGCTTTGTAGATGTTGCCTTAGAAGCCACGATTTAAAAGTGTGGCCGATACAGTACAAAGGACACGCTTATATTTTGTCATATAGCCACGCTTTTATGACATAAGGCTACACATTTGAAGCGTGATCTTTGTCACGTTATAGACTACGCTTTTAAAGTGTGGCTTCTAGAGCAACAATTATCATTAAAAATACCGGATTGACAATCCCTATGGCCACACTTTTTGAGCGTGGCAATTTTGTCTATACTATGAAGTAATTTTTTAAATATTTATATTAGCCACAATTTTGTGGTTAAAAAATTATATTTGTTTACATTAAATTTTGTCCACATTTATTTGCAGTATATATATATATATATATATATATATATATATATATTATGATCTCGAGTATTAAATTAGATAATAAGTAACGGAATAAAAATAATTCGAATGCATATACTTGAAATAAACTTCAATAAAGAACATATTTTGTGTACTATCTACAGTAGTAAAGCATTGTTGGTTCAAGAAGTTCACTAGCAAAGACTTCTATAAAATCAAATGTATTCATATTTATAGTATTCATATAAAATTAAAATAAATATCACAATTTTTCAAAAGGTCTTCACCATTCACTTTAATGAATCAAATTAATTTGTCGCCACCATTTTCAATTGCATCACCCGTATTTTCCTACACATTCAAAATAAAATTAAAAATTAGAAAGAAACAAATATATAGTATGCATTGGTTATATCTTACTAAGAACTAATGAGATTTTATTTCACTACTATCGCATAACAATGTCAAACACAAAAAAGATATACAGGTGAAAGAGAAGCAAAAATATGAATTAACATAATTCTATAATCGTAACAATCAACAACAACAACCAAGTATAATCCCACAAGTGAGGTCTGGGGAGGGTAGGATGTACGCAGCCTTACCCCTACCCTAGAGGGACAGGGAGACTGTTTCTGATAGACCGTCGGATAAAGAAGGTGAAGGAAGCCCCGAGGAAAACTTATAGTGTACAAGAAAGTAAACAAATAACAAGTGAGATCAAAAGCATTCTCCTTTTCCTGTAGTTCCTTTCCCTCTTCCCCGAGGTATGCTTACACATCTCAGCCCAAGCATCTAAACAAGAGAAAAGTAGGACTGCGAGCAGCATTAAGTTGCATAGAATTGCAGATGTTTCGCAATAACCAAGTATTTGGATAAAGTAGTAACCTCCGTACAATAAAAAGCAGTTTTCTAGAGTTGAACACGGTTCCTTTTTCATTCAACATCTCTCTTGTTTAACTATCTGCTTGAAGTTTCAAAGTCATGTAGAACAAGGACTTTGCCATGTTGATAGGTCAGAAAGAAGATCTCGAAGCTGATCAATCAGAAGCTTGAGATGCTTGTTCTTGTCTACGAGCTCCTTTTTTAATTGTAGAATCACTTAACTTAATAACAAGGGAAAAAGGCCAAATATACCTCTCTACTTTCAAATATTATTTATATTTTATATTCGCTATACTATCCGATTAAATTTACCCCTACCATTATATTATTTGGTAAAATATAAATACCTTTTCAAGACTCGGGGCATGAGTTGAGCCAGAAGAATGTGGTAGATTATGGCCTCTCATAGCTCGTGCACTACTTGCATCAACCGGTGAAGAAATATTAGATCCAACACACCCTTGTATATCATGAAAATCCAGTCTCAGGGTTATTTTTTACCAATTGACTAAAAAAAATCACATTTCTTCTCTCATCATTTCCTTCATTTCTTCCTTCAGAGAAGTTATTTCGTTGGCATGTTGTTGTTTAAGTTTGGTGGTTTCTTCATCTTTTTTCAGAGAGCTTGTCGTCACCGATCTACCATAGCATCTAACCCGACCACGCTGTTCCTTTCCAAATACAGCCCTAAATGCATCATCTGTTGTTTCTCCGAAACTTTGACGATTCTGAAGTTCAGACTGTCAAAAAAAATAGTATTGCCCATCACTTACAAGTCAAGATAGATCGAACACTAAAATAAGTTTCAACAAGTCAAGTTAGATTAAAAAAAAGTTTAAGAGACCTCAAAATTTAACCAAGAATGTCAATAAATTTTTCAGCAACAAGGATCGTAGCCATTTTAATATGAAATTTCAAACAAACTCAGCATATTCGCAAAAACTTCCTTTATAGGCTTTAAAAATTATTTTATAATCACAAACAAGCAAGCTTTACAATAAAGATGAATCTTTCGAAATTTACACTGCTCCATTCATGAACAATAAACAAAAGATCAATATTTTCCCAAAAAAAATCCATATATGACAGATTCAGGTGTTGTTTTAGGCAGTGAAGTATTGGTTAATCGTGAAGCCACTGCCAAGAATGTAACTGGTGCTCAACCTAGTTCTGGGCAAATTAATTGTGGTCAGGGGCAGTCTAATTTGCAATTAGTATCAGCTGAGCAAGAGAGAAGATCTGGGGCTGATCAACCTGCTGCTACTGTAGGTGAATCAGATAGAAAACTAGCAGGGGCTGATCAAACTGCTGCTATATTGTAGAGTATAATTATTCTTTTCACAACGATAAGCAAGTCAACATTAAAGATTGTTGTTTCTTTTACCTATATAGTTTGTTCATCATACTTATTCACTCAAAAACCCCTTTTTTTGTCGTTACCCGAGTTCATACTGCACTGATTTAATTATGACATTAGCAATGCATATGTAATGTTAAATGTTTAGGATTAAAACAAAACTCCGATAGAGTAACTGCACGAGTTGTTGAGGAGTCAGATAAGCTAATTTTTCAAATAAGGTATTGTTGTTTATTCAACTGTGTTTATACGTTAGAGCCTAGAAGTGCATTACGGTGATATTTAATTGGTACATAATAGATGAAATTATTCAGTGGTAAGAAACATGTGAAGTGTAGAATATTCGACACTATGAAATAATATTGTTATTCTGAAGGTCATCTGACATGTACAGGGTATAAGCCTCACAAATTAAGCCCTACACTTGAGCCGTTGCAAATGCTTAGCCAGGAGCTAGTCCTAACGAACCTTTTAAAATACTAATCAACAATAAGAAAAATCGTTTATGTTGTAAGTAATTATCACTAATTAAATACTAAATATAAAGGATGATTTTTTTTAGACAAAGAATGATTTAAAATTCAAAAAATTAGAGAAATTTTCAATAGTAGATGTAAATGTTCGTAATTACCGATAAATAATATATGACATTTAAAGTATGGTCATATTTTTTTGTCATTTGTATCAACATATTTTTACAACATTTGATATAAATATCGTATTTTTACTACATTTTGTATCAAATGTCGTTGTTTTTACTACATTTTGTACCAAATGTCATCTTTTTTACGATATTTTATATCAAATGTCTAGCTTTTACGATATTTTGTAGCAAATGTCGTACTTTTTATAATATTTCTTCAAAAATGTCATTGTTCCGGCGACATTTTATATCAAATGTCATTGTTTTTATGATATTTTGTATCAAATGTTATTTTTTTATGACATTTAGTATCAAATGTCATTGTGTCTACGGCAATTTATATCAAATGTCGTGGTTTTTACGACATTTTGTCATAAATGTCAAAAAAATCTTTTTTTCTCCGACATTTATTTCAGTAGTCACTAAATAAATGTCGTCGTATCCTCAATTTCTTATAGTGATCACAAATAATCATTATCATGTATCAATGAAATGAGAGCCAAATATATCAAAGGACATATTTCTATCTCCTTAAGAAAATTACAATTAAATTACCTTCTCTGTTTTCAGCTAGAGAGATACAATACTTTTTAATACAACTATGCAGTAAACTAAGGTCCTTGAAACCTTTATTTGACCAATTAAACTAGACTTCATTCAAAATCCCAACCTAAAATTTGGAAAATCAAAGAAGTAAAGGGTCAAAATCTAATAACTTTGACAAATCAACCTCCTTTGCAACATTAACTCCTCCCTTCACATTCACCAAGCTCTCCAAATAACTATAAGCTTGAAATGGGGCTCGAAGCTCATGGTTTTCAATAATCTCAACATCTCCTTTAATAATATCATATAAATATAATTTTGTCTCACCTTTTGTATAAACATATTCTCGATTTACATCAAAACACATGTCTTTCCTCTCTTCTGCTACCAATGCCTTAGAATTCTCCCAAAATCCAGCTTCTAATAACAACCCTTGACTTGGTTCAACTTTAAACCTTCTACTCCAAGTTCTTTCAACATCATTTTCATTTAAAATCCATATATCAAATCCTGCATTCATCCATATATCAACTTTTTCGAGATTTTCAGAATAAATCAAAGCCAACGATTCGTTTAAGTTGAAGAGCCTTAATGTTATTGCTTCCCTTAGGTCAACCACAATGCCATGATGTTCTATAGGTGGTGAAATAAAATTCAACTCGTCAATGCTCATTTCAAGAGAAACCACGACACTACACATTTCTTCATTTCTAACTTCAACTCCTACCCAATAAATAACACCTTTTACCACGACCATTCCAGGAGCCATTGGTTTCCAAAAGGGAAGAATAACTAACAAAACACGACCATCACTTGCTATTTTTCTCCAAGAATTCGTGCTCAACGTGTAAACTTCAACCTCATACTTCCTCCTCGATGTAGCAACGTTCAAGAGTCGAACAACCATATAGTCATCATTCCCTGGGTGATAACCAAACCCTAGATCGGTTACACTGAGTTTACCTAGGGTTGAAACATATGGAGATCTCGGAACTGGCTTGAATGTTTTAATGGCTGGATTCCATATAACAATCGCGACACCATTATGGTTAACGAGATTCAAGCAGATTAAGCCATTGGCGGAGCCAACAATTCTTGTCTTTTCAGAGGTCAAACCAAATGGTACGTCAAAATGAAGAGGAGGAATATGACTAGGTTTTTTTAGGGAATGAATTAAACGTACCTTGACTTCAAGAGTTTTGTGATGGCGACCCATGATTAGAAGATGGGGTGGCTTTTCTTGGGTAGTTTTGCCAATGTGTTTGGAGATGAAATTAGGGTTCTTGATTAAAGAACAAAAGGGTTTGGATACAGATTTGAAGCGCAACAATGACTTTACTGGAAGTCTCAAGAGAATTTCGATGACAATGTCCCTTGGAAGAAAGGAACAAAACATTGTTTCTGGACCAAATTGGTCTGAATTCATGATTGTGATAAGAAAAAACAAGGAAAAATTCGAATTTTGAAGCTAAATCATTTGTAATAATATCATGAGAAAAATGATAAGACATGTTTGTGTTATGCATCTTCAAGTAGGGTGTCAATGTGCATTGACCTTTAACCATTCTTTGGTCTCTGTCTCTTGACCTTGTGCGGCATTACATAATCTTAGGAAGTTATATTTGGTGGTATCCTTTTATGCACCATTCATTCTATCTAATGGTTTTATTTTTAAGATTGAGCATATTAATTTGATAAAATAAATAGTCGATGGGATTATCTAGTGATTAATATTGAGATCAGGAGATGGGGAGATTTTGGGCTAAATAAAGGTATGAATTAGATTTATTTGGTTGTTGGAGGAGGAGAGGCAAGGGATCGGAGGACTATTATGATATTTAAAATATTCACTATGAAATGTTAATTACTTTTATACTTTTTGCAATAGTACATTACAATACTCTTCAAGTTGGATAAAATAGTTTTAAAAAATTAGTATTCTAAATTAATTTTTTATGACAATCATTTTATTTATTCCTACGAACAAATTAATTAGTTGAGCTTAAATACTATTCATCCAATTAAATTCGTCATATGATAGTTAAACCTAACAATATGGAGTCTCATTTTATTTTTCATATTATTCGATTGAGTTCCAATAATAATAAGATTAAATTCATATTAGCTAATTGAGCAAATAAAATTTGTTTTTTTAAGGCTGATGATAAACATATTGTAGCATGATATTTGAGTACAAGTCAACATATTATTCTACTCTATTTAAGCTAGTAAAGCAAATGCGCAAATATAGCAAATTTATGATATGGAATTACAATACTTTTGTGTGATATAATTTTTTTTCTTTATTAAGTTGGCTAAATAGAATCAATATTCATTATTTGAAGATTTTTGTTCTTTTAAAAAATATCTATATAATTCAATCACATACTTGTGATGACCCAAAACGTCATCTTATATTTTAGAACTCGATTCCGTGTTCCGAGGCCTTGAGAACCTCATTTTATTCCTCCTTAATTTGTGTGCGCAGTCCGGACGTATTTTCGGAAAGCTTCTATGTTAAAAGTTGATGAAAATAATAATTTTTGTCTTTAAAAGTTGATTTAGTTGACTTCGGTCAACGTTTTGAGTAAACAGACAAGGACTCGTATTTTGACAGTCCTGGTAGGTTCGTATCAATATATGGGACCTGACGTATGTCCGGAATCGAATTCCGAGGTCCCTAGCTCGAGAAATGAAATTTGATGAAAATTGAAAGACTAGATATTAAATGGTTTTAAGAATTTGGTTAATGTTTGATCTTGTTAGTATCGGGTCCATATTTTGGTTCCGGATTCCGGTATATGTCCAAAATAATATTTATACCTTATCGGTGAAATTTGGTGAGAAACGAAACTGATTTGACATGATTCGGACGTCCGGTTATAAAAATAGGAATTTCAAAGTGTTCTTAAGAATTTCATGTGATTGGGTGCTAAATTCGTAGTTCTATGTGTTATTTGGGCGATTTGATCAAACGAGCAAGTTTGTATGATATTATTAGACTTGTGTGCATGTTTGGTTTGGAGCCCCGAGGGCTCGAGTGAGTTTCGGATAGGCTATAGCGTGATTTGAAACTTAGAAAAATTGTGGGTGTTCTTCAGCTGTGTTGTAGGCCTCAGACCTCGCAAATGCGAGGTCAAGCTTCGCATTTGCGATTACTGTTGAGGACGCATTTGCGAGCTTCTCATCGCAAATGCTAGCCAACCTAAGTTCGCAAATGCGAACAAACCTTCGCATTTGCGATGGGGAAAAGGGGGAGGTTGACTTCGCATTTGCGACCATTTGATCACATTTGCGATCAGATCAGCTCGCAATTACGAGCATTTCTTCACTTTTACGAAGGAAGCAGGAGTGTAAGAGACCTCGCAAATGCGATGGTTTTCTCGCATTTTCGAATTTCACAAATGTGACATCTGCAGCTGTGTAAAACCTAACTTACATGGGATTTTTGCTCATTTCTCAAAATTTTCAAAACAAGAAACCCTTTAGGCGATTTTCCAAAGACCATTTCTTTCCCAAATCATAGGTAAGTGATTCTTAACTCATTTCATTCAATATTTCACTTCATTTTACAAGATTTCAACCAATCTAAAGATTTTCATGGTAGAATTGGGGATTTTTGGGTAGAAACTAGGAATTACAAAATTTGGAGATTTAGACCTCAAATTGAGGTCGGATTCCAAAACTAATTATATATTCGGGCTCGGGGGTGAATGAGTAATTATATTTTGGTCCGAATTTCGGGTTTGGACCAAGCAAGCCCGGGTGTTGACTTTTGTTGACTTTTTCAAAAATGGCCTAAATTGATTTTTTGCAATCGAGGGTAGTTCCTGGGGCTTAAATTGAATTTTTTGGTTGGTGAATTGATAGATTCTATTGGTCCGGAGGCTTGTGTGAAGAGAAAAGCGTGGTTGAGCTTTGAGTGTGGCATGTAGATCGAGTTAAGTAACGTGTCTAACTTTGACTCGATGGATTAGGAACCCTTGACTTAAATGCTATGTGAAAATCGATGTGAGTGGCGTATAAGTGAGGTGACGAGTACCTATGCGCCATCAATTTATCTGTTTTGCCTGTTTATTTCCCGTTCTTCTTATATTGTCTTTTTCTGCCTTAACTGCTACATGCTTTACTGGTATTTCCATGCTTAATTGCTACTTGTCAAACATAGTTTTTCATTATTGAAGATATTAGTTACCCCGTAGTTTCATTATCTCCTATTATATGCTTAAGCTGGTTTATCAATGTTTTATGTTATATTATAGATTGGTTTCGCTGAATAGTATTATTTGTGTGAAGTTTCATAATGTACAAGCTTTCTGTTTGCTTTGGTTTGAGGTTTAAATGTTGTAAAGAGTTTTGAGTTAAATTGTAAAATTATGTACTTACTGAGTAATTGATGCTAATATGGTGGGATCGGGTTACACGCCGCAATAGGAGGAATAAGGGTGATATGTTGAGGGGGAATAAGGGTGAAATGTTATAATATAGTGGGATCGGGTTACGCTGCAACAGAAGGAATAAGGGTGAAATATTATTATATGGTGAGATCGGGTTGAACGCCGCAACAGGAGGAATAAAGGTGGATTAATGTGGAGTAATAAGGGTGAACAATCATATTGATATATGGTGGGATCGGGATGCGCGCTGCATCAGTTTATGTGTTTATGTATCTTTCTTCTACTATGTAAATTATTCTATAGTTTTGCATTTCACTTAAGGATTGGCTATAGCTAGATACTGATAAGAACCTGAGTTCTGTATTCATTTCTTGCAAGTTACTGTTTTATATTATCCTATCCTTCTTTCTGCTTTTATTATACACTGTATGCAGGTTATATTGTATTTGCCCCGCCGTAACCTCGTCACTACCTCGTCGAAGTTAGGCTCGGCACTTACCAGTACAGGGGGTCGGTTGTACGGATATTGTACTATGCACTTTCTGTGCAGATTTTGGAGCCGGTAGTGGCTGATCGAGAGGTCGGTTGCAAATATTTTCAACTAGGAGATCCAAGGTAGTCCTGCTGGCGTCCGCAGGCCCTGGCGTCCCCTTTTACATCTATATATTATTGTTTTCCTTATTTCCAAAACAGTTGTAATTTCTTTCAGACTGATGTTTGTAGAAAATCATAGTGTGTTCATGAATTGTGATAATCTCTGGGTGGGAGTATTATGTAAACGAAACTGATATCTATACATCTTACATTTATTTCGATTCATTTGCCTGTTTACTGATGATTACTAAAAATGGAAAGAAATGGCTAAATAACTTCTAACATTGGCTTGCCTGGTAAGTGTAATGTTAGGCGTTATCACGGTCTCGACAATGGAGAAATTCGGATCGTGACAATACTTTAATAATATTTGTATATTTTATAAAAAATTATACTATACTAAGTATATACACAATGCATTATGCATGTACCTTAAAACTAGTGATATTTAAATGATTCGCTTTCGCTATATGTATATGAAAATTTTAGCCACATGTATATCTTGTAAAAAGCTCTAAGCAAATTCCTTCCTGCGAATCTTGTACCATAAGAACTGTAGATTGTAAATCTCATCTGCACATCTTATAAAGCGAAATTCAAAAATAGCCAGATATACAACTGGTCGTTTAAAAATAGTCCAATTTCAAAAGTAATCGAAATTTAGTCATTTTTCATGTAAAGATAAATCTGAGCGAAAACACTGTTCAAAACCCGAAAAATACACCAGTATATTATACTGGAGTTCCAGCAAGTATAATTGTCCAGTATAATATACTGGAGTTTGGAGCACCCGTGCTCCAGTCTCCAATATATTATACTGGAGTCAGTAAAGTATACCGGTCCAGCATAATATGTTGGAGTTCATACACAGATGCACCGAACTCCAGTATATTATGCTGGACCGGTCTCTGTTGCAGCAAAATAATGACTATTTTTCATTGACTTCATAAATACTGGCTATTTTTAAATGACCAGTCCGAAAACTGGCTATACCGTGCTATTCTTACAATCTTATAAGGGAAATGTGAAGTGTTCTCGCCAAAAGGCCCACGTTTGGCCTGGCCCAAAACAAACAGACTTCTCATTTTTCACAAAATAATCCTTGGGATTTTTGTACGGTGTCACAACGTATCATTAGCAAAAAAAAAATTCTATTATAAATATTGGCACCATGTAGACAATAAATATATATATGTATATTACAATAATAATATGTATATCACAA